GCTGTGTCCGTTTTTCTTGTTGGCCGTTTTGGTTTGTTGTTTCCTCCTCTCTGCCGGTCGGAGAGTGCCGCCTCTGTGGGCGGGGGAGGGGAGCAGGGTTCTGCGCTTTCCTCCCTTCTGGTCCTCTTTTATGGCCACTTTCTTCTTCGGGCAGTTCGCTGGAGTCACCCGTTTATCTTCCGTGTCCCAGTTCTCACTGGGACCTGCCGCTTTTCCTCCCTATTAACTTTTTTTAATGGGAGATCTTACTCGCAGCGTCTCCTCGCCGCCATGTTGCTCCCCACAAAGGTTTTTTCAATGTGATAATTTTTTTGTTCCTGTTTTTTTTTATTTTATATATTTTTACATCATTTTTCATTTTTGTACAATGTATGCATTTTCATATTGGTTATAGTCCCCGTAAAATTCCCACCACTTTTGTTTTGATCCTTTTGTTTGATCCAAACAATCTCCACCAATTAAATTGTCATGTCATGGAGTTAAGGAAAACATACATTTTTACCTTAGGCAATTCCTATTAGAAATATGGGGAAACAACTTGGCAATGATATCACCTTTCTTGGGGGACTGTGAGCAGGGTTAGTCAAAAAAGAGTCCCCTTCTCCACTAACCTGAGTTGAAAGTGACCATTTAATAAATACAGCACACATGCCTAAAGTGACAAAGGGAGCAATTTAGCAGCTGCTGGTGCTAAGTTTTGTTCTTGCTTTATAAAGCAAAACTACTCAGTGTAATGGGGGCTCAAGAATTACATTTTCATCTATGCAGAACTTGAAAGGAAATGATTTAAGTATCTCCATAAAAGAACTATGTGAACTATTCATAATGGGAAATAAGAGCAGTAACATACATAATTGATAATAATCATAAGCATATATACAAATCAGATGTGTCATAGGTGTCCCATAGTGATACCACAATCAGGAGAGGTTTAAATTAAAAATGAATAGGAAATCAACACAAACTACTTAAGGGTCACATGATAATAATGTAATATACTGCATGGTAATGGGCAAGATCTTTTTGGAAAAAATCCAATGATCGTTATTTGAAAGTATATTATTTATGAAAACAATATATTCCTGAAAGGGTATATGGAAACCTTAATTTAAGAAATGAAAGTATATTTGAAGTGCATGGAGAGAGACAGGTGATGGTTTCTTTTAGCTTTTAGCTGCGTCTTCTTACATATTCAAGTACAGTAGTCTGATGATGTATGTTTCTCTTCCTTCGCCATTCAAATTTGAGAGTTGGAAAAAACTCAATTTTCTATCAGTATTTTCCCAAAGAGCTAAAAGCTCTTTTCAAATAAACGGGCACTTTATATACTATTTAAAGAAAAGATATAATAATTGTTTGTGTATACCTGATTTCAGAATTGCATCTCTTGCTAGTTTGTGCTGCATATTTCTGTTCATCTCTACCTCAATTTGAAACATCTAGTTAATAAGGAAGCCGTTATTTCTTGTTTATTTATTATTGAGGTAATATCAGTTTACAACAGTGATTATGATTTAGAGGTACAGGATCACATGCCCTAGGTGCTTGCCACCACACCACCCTCACCACCAAGGCACTGAATGTCCCCTACCACAGTGCTCCCTTTCTTTCTCTCCCCCCTTATTCCTTCCCCTCTTGTAGCCTCAATTCTATAGTCAGATTGCTAGGATTTGTTATTGGTTTGGTTGTATCTAACCCTTTGATTTGTTTCTCTACTACTTGGTTGTAAAAATAGATAAACTTTCCACTGTTGCAACAACATGGATAGAACTGGAGGGGATTAGGCTCAGCAAAATAAATCAGGAGAAAGATAATGTTTTCTTTTTAGAGGAACTGCTCACAGTCCCAATTTCCCCTGACCTGAATTTGTAAATAGTTTTCCTTTTGTGATTTGATAACCAGATGACTGTTAATTCAGTAATCATTTCCCTCAGTAAGTGATTTCAATACTAAAGCTATATTATTTAAAAATAACTTTTAAGATATATTTTATTCTACAGTTGATAACAAGGTCACAGCAATAGGACATTTTCATTGAGTGAAATGATCCTATCAGTAAAGTGTTAAATTATGTTCCACTTTGAAAAGAATGTTTTTGCAAGCTATACTTGAGTGCATTTCAATAAATTAACCATTTATTTTCTATGCCTCAATGGAGATTTGCTCAGAAATTAGATTGGCAAATGACTGATTTCTAGACTTAAAAGTGTTTTAGTCTTGGGCCTCCCTGGTAGCGCAGGCGGTTGAGCGCTGCGCTGTGAAGCTGTCCGCAGCCGCTGCAGTGCCGGTTCAATCCCCGCCGGCCTTGGAAAAACCCACATGGCGAGCAGACCTCTCCTATCTCGCCCGCTGCTCCCCTCAGCAGTGTATTTCAGTCAGTCTGCCTGTTCTACTCCCCGCTCTGTCTCTGGTGAATCCTCTCACCCTCCCGTGCATCTGGTCTGTACCCCACTTCTTGTATAAATAAATGAATCAAAAAAAAAAGTGTTTTAGTCTTTTCTTATTTTCGATTTATTGGCTCTCAAGTTCAAGAGTCTAAATAACCAATTTTAGGGACTCCCTGGTGGCGAAGCGGGTTGAGCGCAGCACAGCACTGTGAAGCTGTCCGCAGCCTCTGCAGCGCGGGTTCAATTCCCAGCTGGCCAGGGAGATTCCCACATGGCATGGCAGACCTCTCCTGTAGCACCCGCTGCTCCCCTCAGCAGTGTATTTTGGTCGTTTGTCTGTTCTGCTCCCCACTCTGTCTCTGGTGAATCCTCTCACGTTCCCACACCTCTGGCCTGTACTCCAGCTCTTGTGTAAAAATAAATAAATCTTTAAAAAAAATCAATTCTATGAAAAAGTCTATCTGCATATTAAAAAATGAAAATAAACTGTATTATTGATTTAAATATTTGAGTAGTAACAAAAGGAAATTAAATCTAATGAAAACATGATTAACAGGGCTTCCCTGGTGGCACAAGGGGTTAAGCACCATACTATGAAGCAATCTGCAGCCTCTACAGCACGGGTTCGATCCCCGGTCAGCCAGGGAGCAACCCACATGGCGAAGCACACCTCCCCTGCCTCGCCCGCTGCTCCCCTCAGCAGTGTGTTTCAGTCAGTCTGCCTGTTCTGTTCCCTGCTCTGTCTCTGGTGAATCCTCTCACTCCCCCGCATCTCTGGCCTGTACCCCAGCTCTTGCATGCATAAATAAATCTTTAAAAAAATTAAAAATAAAATAAAACAAAACATGCTTAACAGCAATTACTATTGTTCTACATTTCATTTAAACCATGACTCTATATTTGACTTTATTAAATAATCCTGGACATAGAGTTAGCAACACTTTATTAATTCACATAGGAATATCCTATTATTTTTATTTATTTATTTATTTATATAAGAACCGGGGTACAGGTCAGATGCGTGGGAGGGTGAGAGGATTCACCAGAGATAGAGCGGGGAACAGAACAGGCAGAGTGATGAAATACACTGCTGAGAAGAGCAGCGGGTGTGACAGGAGAGGCCTGCAGTGCCATGTGGGACCTTCACCAACAGGCAGGGATCGAACCAGTGCTGCAGAGGCTTCGGACAGCTTCACAGCATGGCGCTCAACTGCCTGCACCACCAGGGGAGGCCCAGGAATATCCTATTCTTAACCTGATTAAAAAATGGGCAGAAGAGGGCCTCCCTGGTGACACAGTGGTTACAGTCTCAGTGCTATCAAGCTATTGCCAGCCACTGTGGCAAGAGTTTGATCCCAGACCAGGGAACTACCCCACATGGCACAGCAGACTTCTCCTGTTTTGCCACAGCTCCCCTCAGCAGTGTCTTTCAGTAGATCTGCCTATTCTGCTCCCCACTCTGTCTTTGGTGAATCCTTTCACCCCCCTCCTTCTGGCCTACACTCCAGTTCTTACATGCATAAATAAATAAAAATAAATCTTTTTTAAAAAATGAGCAGAGGATCTGAATAGACACTTCACCAAAGTAGATATAGAGAGGGCCAACATCTATATGAAGAGGTATTCATCATTTATTTTTATTAGGAAATGCAACTAAAACAAGAAATCACCTCACACCTAAGAGAATGGCTATTAACCAAAAGAAAACAAACAATGGTGTTGGAGAGAATATGAAGGGAATAGAATCCTTTCTACATGGTTGGCATGGATGCAAATTGGTGCATTCATTATGGAAATGAGCATGGAGATTCCACAAAAAAATTAAAAATAGAAATTTCATGTGATCCATTATTCCACTTCTGGGTATTTACCCCAAAAAAATTTCAAAAACAGAAACGTGAAGAGATATAGGCATCCCACATTCATTGCAGCACTATTCACAATTCCCAAGAGATATAAGCAATTGACAGATACTGGATAAAGAAGATGCAGTATATATGTAGAGAATACTACTCAGCTATAGAAAAGATGAAATTCTGCCATGTGAGACAACATGGATAGAATTAGAAGGTATTATGCTTACTTAAATAGGTCTGATGGAAAAAGATGTACAGATGATTTTTAACAAAGCACATCTGAAAATTATGTGATCTAATGCAATGTCACTATAGCAATTTTTTTAAAATAAGACTAATTTCTTATTAGTCACTATTATTTAAAACCTCAAATCTTTGCAATTGTTGTAGATACATTCAAAGTCAAATGCCTTTTCTACAAACCAGGATGAATTGATACTGAAAGTCTAGAACAATTCTGTTTTTGTCTTATGTGCAAGAACACACATGCACACTGAGGTTAAGTTTGCTTGAGTAACTCTTAAAATATGCAAGTAGAATGATAATCACTGCAGCCACTGTAAGATAACGAAAAGATATTTTCCATATGCATGTAAGTTCATATTACTAAATTTAAAAATAAAATTACTATAACCTAAATAATTTATCCCCATATACTCATTTAATGTGGATATATTTTAGAGATACCAATTTAAGTGTACAACAAAAGCTTTGTTTGTAAAAATCCAAGAGTCTATGAACATTTAATGGTACTCACCAGAGCTTTGCATGTCTTTTCTATTATATTTACAGGTGATCCGGGAAAGGTATGGATCTCAAGATAATACCAGACTTTTAAATTGCTAACTGCATCATCTGAAAAAAAAAACAAAAAAAAAACAAAAAAAAAACAGTACCACTACTTAATAATGATTCCAGAATACAATATTTAACAAAAAAAAATTGAGAAATATGAACAGATACCACTTTCAAACTGTATTTCATGAATTCAAATATCAAGAGAGCCGAGGGGAGGGAGAGAATCTGATTTCATTCTGTGAGTGATAAAGGAAGCCACATCCTGCAGGGACATGACAATGGCCTGTTAACGGTCCCTACCTCATGAGTGCCCCAGAAATTCATTAAATTCCCCAATAAATAATTTTTTAAAAGATTCATATTTATTTATGCATACAAGAACTGGGGTGTAGGCCAGAGGTGTGGGGGGGATTTGAGAGGATTCACCAGAGACGGAATGGGGAGCAGAACAGGCAGACTGATTGAAATACACTGTTGTGGGCAGCAACATGTAAGCGAGGAGAGGTCTGCTGTGCCATGTGGGTAGCTCCCTGGCTGCGGATCAAATTCAGGCCACAGCAGTGATAGTGTGATAGTGCTGAGACTTAACCCCTAGGCAACCAGGGAGGCCCAGAAATTTTTCTTTTACATTAAGGGTTACTATTTCAAAAGAAACAACCAATCATTCTTTGGTTGCCAAAGCACTTACACATTATATATAGAAATGTCTAAAAATGATACTACAACTCACAATGGTACATTTCTAGTACCATAAGAATCTAGCCTAAGACAACGTTAGGAATAGACTCTCATTAAAAATGGGTGTTTCCATTATTTTTCATATTTCCCTATTTGTAAGGTTAAAAAAACTTATTTAGATTAAGTGCTTTTCATTTCACAGCTTTAATGAAGTATAACTAACTACTGAAAATTATAAATATCTAAGGTGTACAACTTGATTTGATATATATAGACATTGTGAAATAATCACCACAATAAAGCTAATTAAAATATCCATCACCTCAAACAGTAATCATATGGGGGGAGGGGGTAAGAACACACTTAAGATCTACCTACCCTCTTAGAAAGTTTCAAGTATATACTATCTAATTGTTAATTATAACCACATTGTTGTACACTAAACCTTTCTAATGGAAAAGAAATATCCTGCTAAGCAATCTGTTATGCAAAAGACCCATGTAACTACAGGGAATGGAAAGATTATTGCTAACAGTAAGGATACGGGAAGGCCTGTCTGAAGAATTAGGGGTACCTATCATGTTATTAGATGCATTTTTCATTGATCTTTATCTGTAACTTTTCATAATGCAGCTTAATGATTTTTGTTTTTTTTTGTTAGCATCACTTCATTTTAGTCCAATAATATGGCATAATAGTCTTATTTATTAGATGTCACTCCATTTTAGTCTATTAACATAACATCATGATATTCTTAGTCCAAAGATTTTAACACTTATCCAGTTACCATTCAAGTTTCTTCTCTCTTACATAAGGATGAGATTAAAGCTTAACTCTGAGCATAATCCATCTACAACTGTCATCTAGTCTTTGTACTCAACTGCATGATTTCAACAAAAGAAAACCTAAATCTTTACATTTATATTTTATTTAAAAAATTTTTGAGGGCCTCCCTGGTGGCGCAGCAGGTTGAGTGCAGCGCTGTGAAGCTGTCCACAGCCTCTGCAGAGTGTTCAATTCCCGGCTGGCCAGGGAGATATCCACATGGCACAGCAGACCTCCCCTGTCTTGCAGGCTGCTCCCCTCAGCAGTGCTTTTGGTCCATCTGCCTGTTCTGATCCCCGCTCTGTCTCTGGTGAATCCTCTCATCCTCTGATGCCTCTGGCCTATACCCCAGCTTTTGTATAAATAATTTAAAAAATCTTAATTTTTTTTTTGTGTTAAAGTAATGTTTGTTTACAACACTGCCTATCATTTATAGGTACAGGATCACACTGTTTGGATGTATGTCACCACACCACACCCACTACCAAGACACCCACAGTCTTCTCCAAATATTTAATTGATGACTGGATATTGCCATATAAAACCTTATTGGCACATCAAAATGAGGAAACAGAAAACTGTGTTAAGTATTATATATAATCTCTTCTTGAGTGTTTAGGTAAACTACACCATAATATTGTTACCTCTGTATGCATTCTGAGTGAACAAGTGGCCTGTAAGGGCACTGAATTAATACCAGTCCTTCCTGAAAGGGCACGCCCTGGATAACAGCCCACAGCCACAAGTAAAGGTAAACTCCTGACACGGTTTTCCTAAGAAACTTACCAAAAGCACTTTCATCACACTTTTTGGTTTGAAATGACCAATCTGGCCTTAGCCTGGGAATGCCAAAGCACTTCACCTGAGGACCCTATAAAGGTGTGTGCCCCAGGGGGTCCTCTCCCACTCTCTCTTGAGGTATGTCACATACCTTTATGCACCTCCTCTAAAAGCTGTGAATATCCAAATTCTCTATTTTACTTTCCCTTGCAGTCTTTTTGTGCACATAGACACCCTGGGGACTCTACTTAACAAACACTAATTTAACAAATTCATAATATTTCTAAATTTCTCTCTTAATATTTTTTTATTCATGAATATTTTTGGAACCAATTCCCTCTTTCTATCTCTTCTCCCAAAAGTCAACTAATGCTCGTTTCTGCAATATTTATCCCCATCACCATGATAAGACATTGTTCCCTTTATTTCATATCCACTTTGTTTTTGTAGTGGCCAAACTGGTCCCAACTGCTCTTCCCTTTTTCAAACAATTTTGACTATTGCCTAAGTATTACTCTTTCATGCATCTATTCTGTGATGGTTTATAATATGTGTCAGCTTGGCTGGACTATGATATCCAGTTGTTTGATTAAAAAACTGCTGGTGTGAAGATATTTTTAAATGTGAATAACATTTACATCACTATATCAGGAGTAAAGTCGACTATCCTTCATCATGTAGGTGTACCTCCTAATCAGTTGAAGATGCTAACAGAAAAGACAGATTATCTGAAGAAGAAGAAGTCCCTAGTCAAAACTAAAACTCAACCCCTTCCAGAACTTGCAGCTTACTTGGTCTGCCCTGGGAAAACTAGACTCAAGACTGCAAGAGCAACTCTTACCAAACTTTCTGCCCTTCTCACTTGCCCTACATATTGTGCTCTTGCTAGTTTCCAAATAATAACAATGTTAGCCAAGTCCTTAATCTCTCTCTTACCCACCCCCACTACATATTTATTAATATGTAATATGAAACATATGTGTTTCTCTAAAGAAGTATAATACAATTCATTCAATAAAGATTTGCTTTGGCGTACTTCTTTGTCTCCACAACTTCACTCCTGTCAACCCACCACACTCTTGTCTAATGCCATCTAATGTTCCTGCTACTCACCCATAAAAGAACTCATTTACCCATTCTTCAAGAAACCTGCCCTATTTAATTCAACTTTCATGACATTTTCCTTTGGATCTTAAACATAAGATATTTAAATAACATTAAAATAAAATTTTATAACACAGGAAGGAAAAACAATAGCATTTTCTTTAGCATATGAGGAAGACTGCTATCATGTAGACTGAAGTAAGAAAAGCATACCATATTGTTCAAATAATACATTAATATTTTATCAGAAATCTACCATATTTTTTTGTTTAATAAAAAATGTATTTTTTTTTTACTTATCAAACTGGTAGCATTTAGGCTAAAGTATTATGATCTATTAATGTTAACAGCAGCACAAATCCAGTAGTAAATTACATAAAATTAATACAAAATACTACAATAAAATTCTTCCCAATATATGCAACATATTTGTATGTATATTGTATTGTAAAATATATGTTCACTTAAAATTGAATAATAAAAGTTTATGAAAACTGATTGTGAAATACTTCATAATAATAAATTTACCTGAGTCATCCTCATCAAAATTGTGGGATAGTTCTGATTCTGACTGCTGAAGGCTGGGTTCTCGATATAGACCTTGATCTAAATCTTCCTCAGATTGATCAATTCGTCTGGTTTCAACGGAAAATGAAATTGTACCTACAACACATAACATATCAGATTAACTAGGGACTAGATAAAACTTATTTGGTCTTCAATGCTTGTTCTTACTAAGTCATTTTTTTTAAAGATTTATTTATTTATACAAGCACCGGGTACAGTCAGAAGCTCTGGAGGGTGAGAGAATTCACCAGAGCCAGAGTAGGGAGCAGAACAGGCAGAAGGACTGAAGTACACTGCTGAGGGGAGCAGCAGATGCAACAGGAGAGGTCTGCGCGCCATGTGGGACACTAGGCCTGCGGCCGGGGATTGAACCGGTGCTGCAGATGCTGTAGAGTCTGCAGAGGCTGCAGGCAGCTTCGCAGCCGAACGCTCAATCGCTGCGCCACTGGGGAGGCCTCTACTAAGGCATTTTTAACATGCCATGTGTTACCTCATTAAAATTTTTATTTTGTCTTATATAAGATCCTAAGTATGAACTCTAAACATTTATTATGTAAGCCATTAAATATGCTCCAAAAAGTTAATACCAAAAAATGGCACTATCTGGAATCTCTGTTATACTAAAATTGACTTATGAAACACACATGCTCAACCAATATTTCAAAGAAGAGATCACAGGGAAATTAGGGAATAAATTGAGACAACTGAAAAGGAAAATACATCATAGAAAACATATGGCACGCAGTGAGAGCAGTGCTAGGAGGAGAATTTTTGCAACAACTCCATACATATAAAAAAAAAAAGCAATTTGGGCCTTCTGGTGGTGCAAGGGGTTAAGCACCGCACTATGAAGCAATCTGCAGCCTCTGCAGCAAGAGTTCGATCCCTGGCTGGCCAGGGAGCTACCCACATGGCGAGGCAGACCTCTCCTGACTTGCCCGCTGCTCCCCTCAGCAGTGTATTTCAGTCAGTCTGCCTGTTCTGTTCCCCACTCTGTCTCTGGTGAATCCTCTCATCCCCCCCCCACCCCGCATCTCTGGCCTGTACCCCAGCTCTTGCATGCATAAATAAATTTTTAAAAATTAAAAAAAAAAAAACAAAACAATTTCAAGTCAACAACCTAAGTGTACACTGCAAGGGACTAGAAAAAGAAAAGTGACCTAGCCCAAAAACAGTAGAATAATGAAGAGAATAATAAAGGTTAGCATGAAGACAAATGAAATGAACAGAAAAGCAATAGAGAAAAAAACAAAACACAAAGGTTGACTCATGAAAAGATCAACGTAATTGGCAGATTTTTAGCTAGACTAAGGAAAAAAGGAGAGAAGAGTTAAATCAGGAATAAAGTGTGGATAATGTGATTGCTTGCGCCAAAAGTATTATAAGAGAATCCTATGAATAGTTAAACTGGATAACTTGGGTGAAGTGGACAATTTCCTAGAAATACAATAACTACTAAAATTGAAACACATGAATAGATATCTGTTTATACCAAAAAAAAAATAGTAATAGATTGAATCAATCTCCCTACAAAGAAAAGCCCAGTATCAGATGACTTCACTAGTAAGCTACACCAAATATTTAAATATGAAGCAACATCATTTTTTCTCAAACACTTCTAAAATATTTAAGAGGAGGGAAATGTTCCTAACTTATTCTGGGTAACCAGCATTGATCTGATATAAAACAGATGAAGATGAAAACTAAAATCCAATATCCCTTATGAACATCAATGCAAAAATTCTCAACAAATTTTTAACAAACAAAATTCAGTAGCATATTAAAAGTATTATATACATCACGAACATATGGGATTCATTTCAGGAATGAATGGATGAATGGAAAGAGAAAGGTAGGTCAACACACAAAAATCTTTCAATTTACAGATTGTAGAAAACACATAATCATCTCAATAGAAGGATCAAATGTATTGGACAAAATTCAACCAACTTTCATGGAAAAAACATTCAATAAATGAAGACTTGAGGAGAACTACCTAAAAATTATGATGACTATATATAGGAAAAACCCACAGCTAACATATATATTCAATGGTTAAAAACTAAACATGCTTCCTCTAATACAAGGGCAAAAGATAAGGTGGTGTGTTTTTGCCACTTTTATTTAATACACTATTGGAATTTCCAGCCAGGGCAGTTATGCAACACAAACAAATAGTAGTAGATGCAAAAAAAAAAAACTGGAAAGAAATAAAATTATCTCTGTTTATAGATGACATAATTTTACAAGTGGAAAGTTAGAATGATTACACACACTTTCCCTCTCTCTCTCAAACACACACGCATAGTAGACCTAATAAAAACACTTAGCAAATATGCAGGGTAAAAAATCAACACACAAAATCAGTTCAATATATACACACTAGCAATGAACAATTTGAAAAGGAAATTAAGAAAACAATTCAGTTAGATAAAACCATTATCTGGATAAACCTATATATGTTAACAATATATGTGCACTGAATAGCAAGGAAGCCTAATCAATATTTCAAATACTATGAAATATTCTCAAGAATTAAGAGTACACATCCTCCATTCTTTTCTGTTTCAGTCTATTACTATACTGAGCATATTATTTTTTTCTTCAGCTTACCCATTTAAATGTTATTGCATTTTTATTATTCCTCAACAAAAATAAATTGAACAATCATCTGTAAAACAGTTCAAAATCCCTTTTTGAGTATAGCTGGGACATCTATTATATACTAGAATGAGAAATTAAGTATTCTAGTGGCTGATCAATGAAACTTTAAAATAAGTATTTATTTCAAAAATAGAAATGGGTGACGAGAACTATAGAAGCAATTACAGGCCTATCTAGCACCTTATCTTTTAATTGAAAGAATACTTTTAAAGAATGCACCTTAGTTAAGAATTATGCCACTAATTTAAACGCAATTTTTTTTCCTCAGTGAAAAACCTTTCCCTTGGCAATGTAATTATAATTTTATTTCTAAACAATTACATTTTCAAATTGCATCTTTATTTTGGGTTACTAATTAGCTACCATAGAAGAGGCAAGCAGTCTAATGCTTATAAACTTATTATAAAGAATTCCATTAGATGCAGCAATCTCACCATCAGCAACGAACCATCAAACCAAATATAATAAATAATGATTGAGAGGAATATGATTCAAAAAATATTTTTTTCCCATAATATGTCCTTGTGACTACTTTTTTCTCCCTATTTTCCTCTGTTCTAGCTAGGGCCAACCAAATAAAAGGGGGGTTAAAACAAAGTTTGACTGTGGTACTTAAGTTTATTAAAAATAAGAAAATTATTAGACTACTTTGTGGAAAATATTACAAGAGCAACTCTCTAAGATACAGCATCCTGTAGCTAATGGAAATTTTCAACTTGTATGAAGAGGTGCTATGAAAAAATCTAACAGAAATAGTAATTACAATTATTATATTTTTAATAGCACAAGCTTTTTAGTTTAACAAATAGTTTTTTTCTCTGCTAAACATTCTAAGTGGCTTACTTTTCAAATGTAAATAAAATCAGGCTCAACTGTAAAGACGGAGCAATGTAATTTTATATTAACGGTTTCTTCTCAAGATAGTAAAAAACATTCACTGAGTGTTTACTCTGTGTTATGTATATAGTAAATGCTTCCCATTTGGTAACTATTTATCCCCTTTAACAAACGTCAGATTTATTCATTGGACCTAAGTTAATGCTAAGCAACCTAGCACATGAAGGTTGGGTAACTTCCTGCAGGTCACACAGGTATAAGTAAGTCATCTACACTTAGCTGACATGGAATATGGGGAAGGACACATTAAGCCGTGTCTAAATATCACCACAGAATAGGCTTTTAAGTGGAAAATTAACAAAATCATTCACATACTTACAAAACATTTATTTTGACAGAAAGTGGTAGGCTCATTGATTACCTAAACAATTTCATCCCTTAGAAAACATCCCAAAACAAGTTTCCATGCCAACAGTTAAACCTGGCAAGGTCTGAGAACTCTCTGCACTTCACACCCATCCTGTTCCCTCCATTGGCTTCATGCTTCATCACTACCTATTGCTAATGAGGAATGCTGCAAAGGAAAATCTCTGTATGGCTGAATGTTTAACAACGTGTAAATTTCTTGGAGGTACATTAATTCTATCAAGAAGTTTTTTCCTTAAGTATTTATTCCATGCACATTATATTGCACATAACACTCTTTAACACTCTTTTGCTAGTCGGCTATCATACTACCCTACAAAGTCTGAGTAGCAAGAACAAAAATGAGTCTAAGGAATCATTTACTAATCCTCCTCCTACCTTCTTAAAATTTATTTCTAACTCATTTTCTTTTATTTTTCCCTTTTAGTAGGGGATCAAAGGGCAAGGCAAAAAAAAAAATATGTGGCTGAAGTTGATACAGAGCAGAGATAAAGAAACTCAATGCTTTGGCCATTTGGCCACATCTGTCCTTACTCTGTGTATAATACAGCACTTGTCTCCTATTAGTTTTAAGTTAATTTTTATGATGAAACATGTAATAGTTTAACACCCAATTGTACTCCAATTTTTTGGTTTTATTTTTTGGTTAAAAATAAAATACCTCTTGTTTTGGTTAAAAATAAAATACATCTCGTTCTTTCTATGACATATTTTTGACATGGGAATAACAGAAGACACCACACACAACCCAAATGGATTATTAAAATTGATGTGATTTAGATTTTTGCTTAAGAATGGTTGATGCTGTTTTAATTTTATTTTTTTTTATTTTTTTTAAGATTTATTTATTTATATTTATACAAGCACTGGGTACAGTCAGAAGCACGGGAGGGTGAGAGAATTCACCAGAGCCAGAGCAGGGAGCAGAGCAGGCAGAAGGACCGAAGTACACTGCTGAGGGGAGCAGCGGGCGGCAGGAGAGGTCTGCGCGCCATGTGGGACCCTCCTCCAGTGGCCAGGGAGCAGCCGGGGGCCGAACCGGCGCGGCAGAGGCCGCCGGCAGCTTTGCAATCCAGCGCTCAACCGCTGTGCCACCGGGGAGGCCCGATGCTGTTTTAATTTTATACTTCTATTACTTGGGCAGAATGTTAAAGCATTAATGGCATAAA